ATACCAATATATACAGTAATATACAAATACGGTACTCTTCGAGTAGCGGGTATAACAATATGGTACAGGTACACTGACTGAGTACCGGGTATAAAAGCTGTGACGCGTAAGATGCGTCTCACACGTCCCTTCTCCTTGGAGTTGCGCGCCTGCTCGGGGGCATGCTGCAGAAAGTAGATGACCATCAATTCGAGGGTTTGATTGGCTTCTTTGGGGTACATCATGTTGAAGGTATAATAGTAGCAGATCAATTGGGCCATTAGGTCGGGCAGATCGCCGTCATTGGCGGTAAATTGGGTAAATTATCTGGCCCTCAATATAAACCCTGGCCTCATTCTGCGCTTCCACACCATCGCCTGTTGTCATGGGCGTGTCTGCAATAGATTAACTTCGTCCTTTGCTTTCGTTTTGGCTTATGTTTGGTATACGCACTGACTATATGTTCGGCGCAGCAGCAAATATATAATTATTAAGATCAGCTCGCCTTGCTTATATTTATACTCTCTTATATTAATATGCCCTTGTCTCGCTCATCGCTCCCTCTCACAGTGCATAGAAGCGCACGCATGTGTATGCACCCTTCGTACTGCTTATATTGCAGTGATTTGACCTTTTCTTGTCCCAGTCTAAAATATTTTCGATCGCCGCGCATCTCGTATTAATTCTTTATTTTCTATGTCCAACGCGAACCCGTTACTTGAATCGAGCTCTAAACCATTGTACATTTTAACAAACCGAGTCGTAGTTCACGGGCGTGGCCCTCATCCTCGCATATCTCGCAACCAGTCCAATGTGGCATAGTCCGCTCAGGTGACGCTCAAACGGTTAGTCATTCAATCATCTGTGCTCGAACACTTTGTGCACTTATTCGCACAAGAAAGTGACCGAAACAGAGCCAGCGACACAGAGATACATAGATATGGCTGCAGAGATACACATTTACAGTGTAGTGGAGGGGATAGAGAGTGTCGCTTTGTATCATTAGCAGGAGCCAAGGACTACAGACCAAGCACGAAGTGCGAGCTAAAAGGTCAATTTTCCTGCTGATTTCTCTTGGCCTGGCAAAAATTTATGACACACACAGACAGAGGACAAGGCACAGATACACAGACAGACAGAAAGGGGGAGAGGGAGAGGAATCGGCACTCAGGTCGTGGGCAGGACAACAAAGCGCCATTATTTTTGCGTTCGATCAAACAAAAGTCCCCAAGATTTATGCCAGCTACAGAGGGTAGAAGCCCCTGTTCTCGGTCCGTCCTCAGTGGCATGAGAGGATGTGCTTTTAGCCTAAAAGCAGGCTACACATGTTAGAGGCAGGACACGGGACACACAGGACCTGCCTCACAGAACAGGCAGCAGCAGCAGCAACAGCAGAGACCAGAACGGGGCACATTCATTCATTCATTTGATGCTGCTGTCGTCGTCGTTGTCGTCGTCGTGACAATGAATTTATGCACATGTATGCAGCCTGTCTAAGTGTGTGTGTTGTAAATTTCCTTGTTTTTCACACACCAGACAGAGCGAGAGAGAGAGAGGCGGCAGAGAGAAATCGAAAGAACGTTGGCCACAGGCCCATGGCCGTTGCCTTTTGCTCTCCCCCGTCCAGGACACATTTTGTGCAATAATTATCGATGTCCTGCCGTCACAGACAAGCACAAAATGAAACCTAAAATGATGACACCCCAATTTCCATTGCCCCATTCCTCAATCCGTGCACATCCTGGCCACAGGAGGAGTGTACAAAGCACCGCACCGAAACCGAAACTCGACATCCAGAGACACAGTCAGAGACAGAGCGAGAGACAGCGCCACAGCCACAGCCAGAGCCCAGATTGGTCGCTGCAGGCGGGACGTACACCTGTCCATGTCCTTTTTTTGCGCCACGATGGCTCCATTCTGAAGCTTCAACGTCGGACAGCGAGCAGCGCACAGGGAGATATTGAGTTAAGCTGCCCGATTTTGGTGCACCATTGCCGATGTCACCAAGAGTATGATTTTACCCACAAAGGAGCAGCACACAAACAAGAGAGTTAGTTTTGCCTCAAAGCAAAGGTGCAAAAAAACAAAAGACCAAGAAGTCTGACTGAGAATTTTATTTATTGAAAGTCGTGCATGGATATTTCTGTCAAATATCTCTGGAATTTTAGCTGCGAAAGGAAAGTGGAACGATAAGAGCATCAAAGTTCGGAGTGGATTCATCGATAACTTACTGGATTATTGCCTTAATGACACAGAGAGCTGTGAGTCCCATTGCCGCTGGTATCAATTTATTGCGAAGAGTAGTCAATAGTGGAGCTCCTTGCTCCTCGTGCAGCTGCTCCTGTGGCTGCTCATTGTCTTCTCCGTCAGGCTGCTCCTGAGGCTCCTTCTGTGGCTCCTCCTCTGGCATTTGCTTAGGCTGCTCTTCGTCTTTCTCCTGAGGCTGCTCCTGCGCCTTCTTCCCTGGCTTCTCCTGCGACTTCTGCTGAGACTTGTCTTGAGGCTGCTTTTCGTCTTTCTCTTGAGGCTCCTCCTGAGGCTTCTCCTTTGGCTCCTCCTGAGGCTGCTGCTCTTCGTCCTGAGGCAATATCCGCTTCAGCAGCTCATGCAGCATCCATCGCTGTAGCTTGCCCTCCTGTTTCTTCTGCTGCTCAGCAACGGCCATGAATATCAGCTCATAGACCAGCCAGTACCTAAACAGGATTCCGGAGTGATATACTCGCTTTTCTTCCAACATTTTGATTTTGTTTTATGTGTTATTTTTTTTTGCTCAGGAAAATGCAAAAGATGTTTAATAAAAACTGGAAGTGTTGTGGACGGTGTGACGACTTTAACATGAATGAAAATGAACTAGAAACGGAAGTAGAAGTAGACAGCAAGTGTTACTAGACCCAAGTCAATGTTGGCGGAGACTTCTAGAGCTGCTCGTAGATATCAAAATATCGGGTGAGAAAACAGGCTGGCAGAAGGCTGTAAGTAGGACTCTCTCTCTCTCTCTCTCTCTTTCGGCTGAAAAGAGAACACACGCTGCGAATGCGACTGCAATACAATTAAATTATCATTTTACAGTCGCATATTGCGTATACGCACTGATGCACTGTCAGGGCATATGCCTCTGCTTGAATCTGCTTGGCCCTGCTCTGCTCTCTGGTTACCCAACTGGCAGTCAGCCACGTTTTTGCCAATCGTAATTGCCTTGTGTAGATCAAATTACCAACAAATTTGGCAATGGCTGAAAATTACAGGCGCTGCACAAACAAACAACACAAAAAAAACGAGCAAGAGAAAAGGCTGAAAGCTGGAAAATTGAGAACCAGCAAAAATTTAAAATAGTGCAAATAAAAGTTTGCCAAAAAATAGATAAATGTACAACGCTCTCTGGCCCTGTGTGTGTGCTGTGTGTGTGTAGCGTATATCCATCTGTTCAGTGTCTTATTGACAGTTGATTTGCACTCTGATTGCACAAAAGGAAACCCAAAATCCGTACATTAATTAAACACTGCACTCTTCCCGTCTCGATCTGTCTTTCTCTCTCTCTCTCTCTCTGTCTGTCTCTCCCTTTTTCTGTCCATGTGTCTGCCACTGTAACTACCCGCACTCTCACTCCTCGGTGCTGGTCAAACAAGGACTTGCAATTGCTGGTTGTGTAGGTGTTGGGGGGGCTTCAAGCCAAGCATTCTGCTACCGGAAGCCATTTTGAGGGCTGCTGCTGTATGCCAAGCTGCCGCTGCTTGCTCCTTGCTGCTACTATTGATTCAGATTTCACTCGTTGCAGTTTGCCTTTAAAGGCTTTAGAAGTACTCTAGTCAATCATATCCCCCCGCTTCAACTTTCCCTCACTGCACTGCCTGCAACTCTTGCTGCCAGCTTGAGGTGTTTGCCACTTAAAACCTTTTTGCTGTTCTGCCCCACCCATACGCCCCCCATCCTGTTTTATGAATATCTGCCATAAATGTGAAATAAGCAAATAAGAACATTTCTCATCGGGCTTTACATCGCCTGCTACTCGACTGCTCTGCTCTTCTCAACTCACAAATTCAGAGCTCGGAGAACTTTAAATTTAACTGACAGACAGCAGATGCTGCCGTCTGCTCCTCCTCCTCCTCCTCCCCTTCACTGCTGCCTCCTACCCTTTTTGGGCCACATTTTAGAGCCATTTATCAAACTGTTTTTGCCTGCAGACGCGGCGCGAGTGGCAAGTGTCGTTAATTATCCATGTACGTAGCTGTTGCTCTGTGGCACTCTCGTATGTACGTTGCCTGCATTCCTCCTGCCTCTTCCCACCACCTGTTTCCGCCTATTAATGCATGTTTATTTGCCGCGCAGCGCCCTCGATTCATATTTATGATTATTAATGGCGCGAGGCCTTATTATAATTCATTTAGCTGCGGGTAGTGGGCTCCCAGCCCAGAGCACGTCAAGTTTTAGCACGTTGCTTCTGCCTCATTTTTGTATTCATTAATTAAGTGGCGCTCTTTAATGGCTAATTAAAATTGAAAGTGCAGGACCAAGTGGGAGTTCTTCGGCTTAGCCTAGTGGCTGGCCACTTCTTTGATTTGAAGAGAGGAGAAAATATATGTGAGTGTCGGTGTCGGAGCCTGCACCCTCGAAGATTGCCTGTCTGCTGGCATTGTGCAAGTGCAACCAATCAAAATTCCTGTAATAAAATCAAATATTCATTGCTTTTGGCTGTGTAAGCGTTTTTCCTTTAACATTTCATTTATTTTGGGCACTTTTTGGTTACTTCCCTAGCTCAGTCCCTGTCCCTGTCCCTGTCCCTGACCCTCTCCCTGGCATCCGTTTTTGGTTGTGTGTTTTGGCTGCGTGGCTCTTCCGTTTCCGTTTTCTGATTCTGGTTTTAGACTGTCTAAGCGGGGGAATTTTTGGGGTGGAGGCTTCGATGGGTTAACTGTGTGACTGGGCCACAAAGGGCAGCAATTTTCAGAACAGAACAGAACAGAACAGAACAGAGCAGAGTAGTTGTTCCATGTTGCGTTTGTTTTACTATTCACATTCACAACACACAGAAACACACACTCAAATATACATACATGTGCATGTACATACATATGGCCATATGTATGCACAAGCTGGGCTATTTTTTACGCCTCACCTCAAAGAGTTTTTGGCCTGGCCTTGTGTTAGAATTTGCCAATTTTTTTCACTCTTTGAGACTGTTTTGGGTTCTATTTTTTTCCCCCTTTTTTTTGGTAGTTGTTGAAAGGCAGATGGATGGCGAAAAAAATGCCAAAAAATTGCAACTAAAATGATTTGGTTTGTAGCGTTTGAAATTATCTATCAATAAAGCACAGAGTACAGGGGGAGAGGGGATGATTGCCCTGCACAAAAAATATCATTAGATGTGCCAAATTATTTAAGGCGGAATACTCGTCGCAGCAGACATAATTTCATGTCACAAAAATTATAGAAAAGGCCAAGAAAATTCGACCATTAAAAGCCAAAGAAGGTAATCTTCGAAGTGCAGAGATTTACCAACATGAATTCCAGATAATCTACAGGGTATTCCAGGCATTCAAACCTCTACCAAAAATGCAACAAACTTCGTGCATCGTTCTATGCACTTTGCGTTTGGAAACCATTTTTGCACATTTCCAAAAAAAAAAGTATATTCTCCACCTTCCTCGTCTATTTTTTCTTTTTCTTTTAATTTTTCTGCTGTATTTTTTTGTGTGCTCCGCACGTTGTACCCTTGTGCCAAGTGTTCCTTGTTGCTGCAAATTGATGGCGCTATTTCCAGGCTGGTTAGGTTTTATTCGTTGCTGCTTTTCACATTTCCTCTGTCTTTTTTTAAGCCCGAACTCCAATAGAAAGTGCAAAAATTTGAAACAATAACTTTTACGCACGTCAGTGTAAACTCACATGGAAAATTTGCATTCCACCGACACCCACAGAGACACACAGAAGAGAAGAGAATACCGGAGCTTGGATAGTGAATCGTTTTGATACTCTTGCGACTTGTGTTTATTTAAGCTTAAGATCCAAGTATGTAGCACCAAAATGCCACGTTTGATAGACACAAAGGGGATATTGATCGTGGCTCTACAAACTAAAACTCTATAAAGACAATTCCCTATTGAAGACTCTGGAAATGTCTGATTGATGCTCTTTTGATTGATCAGAAATACTTTTGCATTTGGCCAACACATCTCAGATCAGAACCCCGTCAAGTGTGCAACAACAAAGAGCAAGTGACTGTGGCCGTGGCAGTGTCAGAGGCTGGCAATGGGTGGCCCAGGCAGAACTCTCAAAGCAAAGTGAAAATGCGTTTGAGTTTTTTGTAACGAAAGAACAGAAACGCGAAACACGGACACGGACACAAAAAATCAGTCGGAATGTGTATGAAAGTTGTATTTTTGTTGCCAATTTGTTTTTTTTGCCACCCTTTCAGTTTTTCCCCTTTTTTTGGCTTTGGCTTTTGTTGCTCTGCTTTTGCTGCCTTTATTTTTGTTTAGCATTTTTATTAAACCAATTTGGCTTTGTGTAATTTGCACTTCATTAGAGAGAAAGACAGAGACAGACGCAGAGAGAGCTAGAGCCAGAGAATGGAAATTGGCCAATGAAATTAAAGTTTTTGGCTCTATTAAAACATAGCAAAAAAATAATAAAAGGAATCAGCTCAGAGCATAGAAGAAATAGCAGTCGAAGAATAGTTGTAAAAGAGCAAAACTGTTTGATCAAAACGAATGCGGAAATGGGAGAGGGAGGAAAATGCAAAAATGCTGGTGCGCAGAAAAGTAGGCAATACTTTCGAGTTCCCCATTGATTTAGCTTATTTGGGCAAAGGAAAAGCTAAAGCTTGCCGCGTGCCCCACCCAAGCTGAGTGGAATTTATGTGGCATGCACTTAAAGTGACTTTGCGGTTTCATTTATGAGCTGCTGCGGTTTTAATGCGCCCAAAACTAAAGGGGCGATGGAGTTGGGGGTGGAGTGGGGTGCGGTAGGGTGTTGTGGCATGCCACACGGTGGCCAGCTGCACACGCAGTGACCATACAAAAGTCAGTTTGCTGTTGCCGTTGATAATTTATAAACGGAGGAGCTACGAGGAGACCCAAAGCGCAGGCCAAAGCGCAGGCCAAAGCGCAGACCAAAGCCCAGCGAAGCGAACTCAATGGAATGCAGTCTATTAGAAGCGCGTTAGTCGTCTCACAGATGCACACACACACACACACACAGCTACAGATACAGGTGTGCTGGTGCAGTCAATAAAAGTGCAAAGTTCGAAAAGGGAATGCGAATGGGTTGTGCGGTTGAAACAAGTTGATGATTAATGCAGACTTTGCTTTCAACTGCAAAACTAAAGACCAAAGACTAACCGAAATAAAGTTGAGTAAAGTTGTACTTTACCAAAGAGAGAGACAGAAGGAGCGTGTGTCCACAGGCAGACAGTCCTGAATATAATCTCTTGGATAAGGCGAAACTCATCAGCTGATGGGAAAAGCATTTGGGCGAGGTGCAGAACAGAAAACTCTCAGATACCCTTGCCAGTCCCCCTGCATCATGTTCCTGCAAAGGCAAAGGCAAATGCAAAGCCTAAGTTAAAGCTTATGCTCTTCGCTCTTCGATAGTTTGCTGGCAGGACACTCCACATTCGTTGCTTTGGTGCAGCTTTTTCCTCAGACGCATAATCAAATCCATTGCCGTCTCATTGCTCTCTGTGGGAAGCAGCAAAGTTGTCTCCAAGTATGGCTTCTCATCGTCCCCAGACACCCGAGACCCGAGACCCGAGGCCCGAGACCACCCGAGCTCCCCCTTCGAGTCAGGGAAGACAGGAGAGAGCCGGAGCCCTTTTGCGAAAAATGATTAATGCGATTTGAACTTTAAATTTACATTGTGTTCA